GTTTTTTATTGTATTGCTATCGCACTTTGTTTTCAGACAGTTGATTTACATTTCAATAGTGCAATAACTGCGCAGAGGCTCTTTAAAAAGTTTATTTAAAGTAAAAAAATTAAGTAACAATAAATATATATATAAAACTGTTTTTCCTGACTGACTGATTAGTGATCACCGCACAGCCCAACCCGTAAAACGAAGAAGCTAAGTGATGGTGGAGCAAGCTTCGACGGGGGGATCCGATCGTCCTCAAACTCATTTTCAACGATAATTTTTTGAAATTTTGCTGAAAGTTTCGTTCAATCCGCCGTAAATTTACTTTCAAATCCCTACGTAAGACCTCAATGAATACATGTTTCAATAGTTTTCCAGGAGATGCCCGCTAGTATATTTAAATAATTACATATATGTATATGTTTATACCCTGAACCCATTAAAAATGGGTAAAAAGGGTATAATGTATTTCTGCAAATGTATGTAACAGACAGAAGAAAGCATCTCCGATCCCATTAAGTATATATATTCTTGATCAGCATCAACAGCCGAGTCGATCTAGCCATGTCCGTCTGTCTGTCCGTCCGTCCGTCCGTATGTATGAACGCAAGGATCTCAGAACCTATAAGACCTAGAGACTTAAAATTTTAGCTGTAGGTCCTCCTAGTCCCCGTGCAGATCGTGTTTGTTTCAGATATTCGATAACTTGCCCCGTTTCTATGTAATCGATAAAAATATCGAAATCCTGTTTTTTGAGCAATTTTGGTAAATAGCAAGAGCTAGACTCACTATACTTGTCATGTAGCTTCTAGAATAGTACATATATATATATGTACATACATACATATATATATACATGTATATCAAGTATATTTTATTTTATAGCTATCACCACCTCCCCGCTGCCACAATTTGAATGCAATAGACATTTTAGAATATACCAATATTCTATGGGACAATAAGATGTAATATCGAAAATTTCATAAAGATGGGTTAAGAAACACAAAAGTTATATGTTTTGGTTGCGCACATGTTGTTAGCAGCAGCTAGCGCTAATCCCAAGAATTTCTGTATGCATGTACACACACGCATTCATGCGCGTCTGCTTTGAATTCTATCAACAGCATTGCACTTGCGATTGCACTGTTTTCTATGCTGCTATTTTAATTCGTCATTTTCTCACTAAGACTTAATTATTGGTGTGGCTATTGAGTAGAGGCGGCGGAAAGTAGCGCGGTCAACTACGAGTTCGAACCCTGTATAGGAAAATGTTTTTTTTTTTTGGCTGGTGTGGATGTTGAGTAGAGTCGGCAGCAAGTAATGCGGTCAGTTACGAGTTCGATCCCTGCCAAAGGAACTTTTTTTTGTCAATTTATTTTAGTTGCTACTAGAGCAAACGAACGCGTAGCGCGAACTGTATTTGGTGTTGAAATAAGAGGGTTCAGGGTATACCCTAGTCGGGAGCTCCCGACTAGAACCTCTTACTTGATATGTTATTCAGGTACTGTTTCGTTTAAGTTTTAGCTATGAAACAACGATTTTACCAAAATCATATAAGAGCACTTCGAAAAAAGTACGTTTCTGCCATAAAATGAGTGAATTAAGATGTTTAAAGTACCAGCTGCTATTATAAATATATTTAGCTTCCTTGAAATCGAAAAAAAATGTCACCCTTTTTTCGTATGGTAAGCTTACCCAGTCACTGGAAACGGTGTACAGCTTCGTGCACGGCGCACAACGGGAGTATGCAAATCTCGAATTAATGATTGGGCCCGATGACGTATTCTACTGGTTTCCTCAGAGAACGTCTATATTTATAAAAACAAAACATTTCAAAATAATTTCATCTTAAAACTACTTTACTGACTGTAATAAGTCTATGTAAGATAATATTTAAATCTTAAAACTTACGGTAAAGGGTTCGGTATTGAGGTAATTAGTTAAAGCCCGTGCGCCATATCCAGGTGGTAGTCTCTTCAGGTATGAAGGTGTCACACGAAGCGGAGATGTTGTGATCCTTACCGGTGATACCGAGCGAGCATACGTACGAGTTACAGTTGTAGGGTTGTAATAATACGATGGTGTGTACGTTGTATACGAAGTTGGGATATAGGTGGAGGAGTAGTATGTCGATGGCAAGTATGTTGGACTATAGTATGTAGTTGGCGTAGTATAGGTGTAAGAAGTCGTTCTCTCCGGCGATGATATAACACGCGTTGTAGTACGCACAACACGCACAGGTGATGGAGAGTGTAAAATGCGCGAATAAACTCGGGTGGGAGAGGTAACAACCCGAACAGGCGAAGAAATAACACGTGTTCCACTGACGATACGTCTTGGGATTGAATAGCTCGAGTAGATTGGATAGCTTGTTTTGTATACCTAACACATTTGGCAGTTTTGTAAGTTAGTAATATTAATAACAAAAAAATATAGGTAATGGTGCATGTACTAAGACAACAGAATAGTTCAAGTACAATATACTGTTGAGAACTGTAGAAAATATGATCGTAAGATTTAGCAGGAAAACAAAAAAAAAACAAGTAAGAGTTCTCTAGTCGAAAGTGCCCGACTACGGGAAACTCAGAACCTTTTTCTATTTACAGGGTACAGGAGCTATAACTCAAAACATAGGAGATATACTGAATAAACAGTATATCTATATAGGTAGGAAACTCACACTTCGCGGGCCTACGCTCTAAGTGTCAAGTCTCTAGGTCTAGCTTTGCAAAAATAGAATAAATAAAAGATAATAATAATATATATATAAATAAATAAAACTTGTTTACTTATTAAATAAAGTATATATATATATATTTATTCATTTATCTTTATATACTTTATGGGGTTTGAGATGTTTCCTTCTGCCGTTACAACCATTTGTATAAGCCCAATGTACCCGGTTTTATCCATTTTCAATTTGCACATGGTAAAAAAAAATATATGATGTGAAACAAACTCGATCGGCATGCGTCATAGGAAAGCCTATATTCAAAATTTAATGTCTCTGGTTTTTATGGTTTTCGAGCTCTACGTGATCATGCCGATCATTGTTTTATTGTATTCTGTGCTACTCATTTCCCATAATAATCCAAATGTTAATATGGCGGTAAGGTATGAGGCGATGGAAAGTAATTCCTTCATTTTTCCATCAGAGAACATTAGTTTTTTAAAATAATTCTACTTTTATCCTTTTATCCATTTATCCATTTAATAAGTAAAAAAGTGTATTGTCCAAAGGGCCTAAGTGTGTATATGTCTAAATGCATGCTGCATAAAGATGCAATTGACAACTCAATGCGTATTTCAATTCATAATTTGTCCCAGCTAACTTGATTGTGCTTTTGGTAGATGAATATTTGGCGCAACTCGTAGTCGGGTACTTCCAAAAAGAGCTATCTTACTTGTAATACGTTTTATAGTGTCAAAATACTAACCACGAATGATTCCAGGTGACGATGAAGTAATTGAAGTATAAGCAGTGTGATAACAAAATATGATATTAAAATTTGAACGGCATTAAAGAAATGAATGACAAGCAACTCATGATTATTAACAAAAAGTTGTTAAATACTTACTCGAGTGACTCTTTGAGCTGATGGATACTGAAAGAGAATTATACAACATTATATTTCATTTGTTATGTATTTTATAGAAATTCCAATTGACATCTTCAATGATATCCTAGGCCCCCTTCCTAATATTGTGAAGCAAAGAATAAACATTCTAAGGAATATTTAGTTCTCATATGCATCCGTATAATTCATATGAATATCGTATGTGAAATAAAAATAATGCAGTTTATTTGTACATATGCAATACGTAAATTTTTAGTGAACGCGATTTTATTTTATTGTGTCACAAATACTTGAAATGACTTGATGATGAGTAAATACATCAAAAAGATTTGGTTTATAAACTTCTATCTAATAAACAATCAAATGAATTATTAGTTATGTTAATATCGAAATAAAATCAATATCAAATAATTTACACAATTCTGGTAAAAGATAGTATACAGAAACATTAAACATACACGAGTGTATATGTATGTATGTGGTTAGATATAACAAGTTGCAATAATAATATATAACAATTTAAGCGGGTCATTTAGTGTAGTTAATTTCAGAGCCACATAAACCATATATGCTTTTGCTTTTTTAAATCATTTTCCTAGACATGGTACGAAAAGTGACGGTATTTGGTGCCACCGGGTAAGTTTCCAGAAGTAGTAGAGGAGTAGCTGTAGCCACCGGGTCCAGCGCCAGTAGTGCTGGTCCGTTCGGTGCTATAATTGTAGGCACCACCCGGCCCGCTACGCGATGTTTTCTCGACAGAGGAAGTATATGTGGATCGTTCCGGCCTGGTATAAGGGTTGCTTGAGTCATAACTGCTTTTCTCAACACTTGACTTTGAGGTGTACGAGTAGTCCGAGGAGGCACGACTGCGATGCGAACCAGGTCTATCCGTGCACAGATCTAAGCGTGGAGTCTACAAATTCCGATTTATGCATTTAGGTAAGAATTGTAAAGGAAAATGAACAATCAGCATAAAAAGTTATGCAACTAAAAAAACCAACTTGCTGTTCTTTTAAATGAAAGCTAATTTTTTAAAGCTGGTCCGCTGATTAATTAAATATCCCAGAATTTATGACTTGAATAAATTTTTATAAGATCTTTACTATTCTGTGGTAAGTCAAAAGCAATGAAATAGAATTAAGACATTTTAAGCAGATTATACGTTTTCTTATTTTAATCAAAAATGTACAACATTTTCGTTGTCAGAGAACCAGCTTTAGGAAAAACGCTTTAAAATTTGAAATTATGACAATTTTTTTTAGAATAGTTTGTACACAATAAATAAATAACAAAGTACGAAAAAGTTTGTGTATTTTAATATTAGATTTACTTAATTCAATCACGTCATGGTCTTTATCGAAGGAAATTGAAACAGGTTCGTATCTTAAAAACATTAATGCTTTACCTATTTTGATTGTAAAGATTTTAAATATAAAATATACAATCTCATGTAGCACATATGAAATATTAAAGGCAATATTAGATAAAAAACGAACAGAATGTCAGCTCTTTTATGTATGTAAATTTGTTGTATACAATTGAATGTCTGTATATGGCCATGTACATCGTGTATTCTAATTGTAATATCAAAGACTTTACAGTCAATTCGTTAATTTTTCTTTCGGTTTTAAATATTTGGTTTCGTTGCAAATTATTTTTCTTTTATTAGTTAGTAAGAGTACTTTGTGACCATTGCTCCCGACCTTTCATTGCGATAGGTTTCTCGACGCACCGGCAGACTTTCTGAAGCTTCGCGATGTAAGCGCGGAAGTTGACTATCGAGAGAGTCGCGTGAGGTGCGTGCTGCTGTATTGCCACCAGCTTCCACAGTATCGATGTGCTGACGCACCATGCTTAGAATACGCGAGCGATTTTTGTCACGCGTTGACACGTATGGTTCAATAGGCTGATAGGCAATCTTATATGTTGGTTTTATTGCAGCCCGATTTATTGGATCGAGTATAGATCGCTTGCGCTGCTCATAGTCCGATCGACGCACTCCAAAAGCAGTCACCGGATCAGAGATGAGTGAAGGCCTTGGCACGAAAGGAACTTTCTCCCAGTCAATTGGTGGTCTGTTTGTTTTCTGTAATGCCCAGAATGTCACATATGTGGGTTTTAAATTTAGAAAGCCAATTTTACGTTGTTAAGGTATGCAGTGCAGATATGGTTTGCGACGTGCTTGAAGTTCAACGGCTGTGGATACCAAAATCATCGACTACAAATCTAAAACTTGTGTTGCATATTTCCAGGCAAACTTTTGTCATGTAAATGTACATGCAAGCTTACACATGTACATGTACATGAATGCACGAGGATGGAGTTAAGAAGCCAGAAATTTAAATGATTGGCTTATGTTTAGGCAAAATTGTTCCGTGGTTGCTTTGTTTATTTGTCTTATCAGTTATATGTTTTATATACAGTGAGTTTATTTTGTTTATAAATAAATATATTTACAAATATTTGTTGTGTGACTACTGATTTGGTGAATATGTTTGTTAAAGATGTATTATTTTATTAAACATTTGCTTTATTTACAAATGTAAAAAGCATACTATTAATAAAATTAGTTAATTGGAGTAATGTCGCCTATACGTAATATCCATTGTCAATGCGTACCAGTCAAATACTCTTAAACTTTAAAATTTATAATTTGAATATTTCCTTTCTGTTAATAGTCTAGCCGTTTTTAACGATGAAGACGATTTGCTTGTTTTGCCTTGTTTGTGTTTAATGTATTTTGGAAGTCGAAAAGATATTTTTAGATCAGCCCGAAAATGAAATGCGCAAACAGCTTATATTACACATACGTATTTATACATAAACGTATGTACTTTCACATGTGCATTATGTGTCTATGAATTTTCTTATGTATATATATATTTATTTATATATATTATTAATTGTATATATAGATTATCGACCTCAACGCAATGAAATAACAATAAAGAGAACTATTTTCGAATATAAAAGTTGTCTATACTTATTACAAAACAAATGTATAAACATTTTCATTTCATTCATACAAAATATTACAATTCGAAAAATTTCCCAAATTTCTATCAGTGCAGTAATCCAGTTCAAAATATACTATTGTTGGTCATCATGATGGACATACAAACTTTTGTGAATATAAACATGGGTGTATATACACAATGCTATATTTGGAATATGAGAGCAGAAAAGCTTTTTGATTTGCATGCTTGCCAATGATGTTGGCGAGTCTATGACCAATCGTAAATTTTTTAGAAATTATTACGATAGAGAAAATAGTCATAACCTTGAAAAATTCTCAGTGCAGTCCAAGGTAGCGGAAAAGAATATAGAAGTCTTGTCAAGAACATTTTTATTTTTGAATCTGACTTAATAGTTGTACTTAATAGTTGTACTAACTTAATAGTTGTACTTCATTTTAAAATATATATCTTCATACTTACACATTTGTGAGCTTGTTAATGCTTATTATTAAATTCTCAACTAATACATTTACATTCCGCATGCATGTAATATATATATAGTACATATGTATGCACTTGTTCATAGTCAGTTTGTAAGTGGGTCGGGCGTTTGCCTATATCTATACGCAAAAACAGAGAAAGTCAGCCATAATATAGACCACTTAGTTAGATATATACATGTATATATATATAAAAATATACATACATATTTGTTAGCTTTATATATAAATGAAAATACTTTGAACATATTTTTATACTCAGAACCTATTGAAATTGCCTAAATAGGGTATGTTGTCTGACATAAAAAAAATCAAAAGAGTATAAAATTCCAGTGTCCAAACACAAATACAAAATATATGTACCTTTGTAAGCTTAATTTTTTACATGTGCATGTATATGAGCAAATACATATGTATGCATTTGTGCTTTTAAATCCTAATACGATATTCATATGTATTTATTAAACTATATTATAAGTTATTTCTGTGCTCAAACGTGTTTCAATTTCTTTAACTGATTGAACTTTACTCAAATGAAATTGCGGAATACAGCAATTAGGATAGAAGCGATAAAAAAAAGTACTTCACATATTCATTGGAGTGTAGCTAACGTGATACGTGATGAAGTTCATTTCATAAAGTGTTAAACTTATCTGCTGCATCGGTTTTCTATGTATATGCATGCATGAAAAATTGTACATATTGCACAGGTCTCAAACAATTCGATTTAACAGATTTTATGGAATGAAAACCTCATTACTTTTGTTGGCGAAGCCAATATGTTCTATCTCATTGGTGTTGCTTTAAAATATAAAACTTACCGTTACGGCATACGACGTAGTCACCGGTCTGGAGCTGTAAGTTCTACGAGTTGTAAATCCACTTTCGTAAACCATTTTAAATATTTAGTTTTCAAATATGATTAAAATGTATCAGTAAGAATCACTTATTCGTTATTATCGATTCAAGTATCTCGACTTTCGTGTTCTTAACTTGATGCCCGTTCGAGTTGTTCTGTTAGAGAGCTGGATAGAATGGTTTCTTATAATTTTTGAATTACAAAAATCTGAAAAGCTTTCGCTCTTTCTTGCTCTCTTTCATTGGTTTTAATAAATTTATTTTTGGAATAACAAAAATTTAAATCTCTCATGTCAATGAAGAGCGTGCGATTTCTTTTATAATATGTATGTATGTAAAGTCGTTAAATTTTTCGTTTTGCACACGCAAAGGTATTCATATGAATATACATAAATAAATAAATATATATTGTTGCATACACACATTTTCTATGAACGTATATTACAATATTAAACAACCAAGTAAAACGTAGAAAAAAACAGAACACATATGAAACCATTTTGGATAAAAAAAATATAAATAAGTAAGAGGCTCTAGTCGGGAGCTCGCGACTAGGGAGTACCCTGAACCCTCTTCTACCAAAACAAAATTTAGATCGCGCTACGCGCTTGTTTACTTTAGCAGTAATAAAAATACATTTAAAAAAAAAACTGTTTCCTCGATAGGTCTCAATCTCGTGACAGACCACACTATTTGCAAACGTCGTCCCTCAACAGCCACACCAAGAATTCAATCTTAATGAGAAAAAATACTTGAATACTTGTGTATTCTCAAAAAATCCATTGCATTAAAATTGTGGCTTAAATTGGTGGGCAATTCAAGTTGGATTTTTAACTTGATTTATAGCTTTGTAGTGGTAGCGGGGAGGTGGTATAAAATGAAAGATACTTGATATATATATATACTATTCTAGAAGCTACATGTCAAGTTTGGTGACTCTAGCTCTTATCATTTACCAAAATTGCTATTAAAACAGGATTTCGATATCGATTTTTATCGATTACTTGGAAACGGAGTAAGTTATCGAATATCGGAAACAAACTCGTACTGCGCATGGAGCTACAGCTAAAATTGCAAGTCTGTATCTCTTATAGGTTCTGAGATCCTTGCGTTCATACATACGGACGAACGGACGGACAGACAGACTGACATGGCTAGATCGACTCGGCTGTTGATGCTGAGCAAGAATATATATACTTTATGGGGTCGGAGATGCTTTCTTCTGCCTGTTACATACATTTGCACAAAAACATTTAGCCTTTTTACCCATTTTCAATGGGTTCAGGGTATAAAAAGATATGCAGCAAGTTACTTTGCTTTACTCATGATTTATGTACGCTGAAAGGGAGAAGATACCTTAAATCAAACGGGATTTTTTATTTTTGTGTTTCTTAGAAGGAATCTAGATTGTTTTTAAATGTAGCTCTGTGTGGAGCTAAGGAAAGAAAAAGCACGGCCACTACATTAAGTGCGCAGTTAATATAATTATTAGCGGTTAGTAGCTATTGCTGTTTAAGCGCGTATACATACATATATATGAAACATATACTGTATGTATGTACGTAATCTAATAGAGTATTTGCTATTCGAGTACTTATTGTTTTAATATACTTTTAGACACAAATATATATTTAGTCAAGGTAATAAGATGCATAATTACTTAGTATATCCATACACAAACATATAAATAACAACAAAGTGAAAAACGACATATTCATGACATTAACCTTAATCAGTGTCCAGAAATAAATAAAAAAGTAACCTTAAACAATGTTTATATACTTATTTAAAGCTTTGTGTCGGTATTATTAGCAGATATTACGCGGCCTTGCCGATGCCAAGGACTTTGGTAATATATTTTTTTTTCTTCAAATTTTTTGTAAATGACAAATTTTTAATTTTGCAGTCCTACCTTATACCCCTATCACACCAACCAAATAGTGCTTTTTTCGTGGTTTTAGTGTGAAGCAAGTCTTTAAATAATTATTCAAAGTCATTGAAAATATTCCTATTATAAAACGTAAAAGAGCTTTACATTACACTTTTTCACATATTTTCCGACCCTATATCTCACTAAAATCGCTTTTTAAATTAAAATGTATGTATGTAGAAAAGAAAATAGTTAAAGTCCACAGTTTTCCGCCCGTTTACGAAACGTGTTAAGTTCTTCTTTTAACTAGATCTTTAAAAACAACTTAGTTATATAGGTCAAAGGGAGATTTTTGCAAAACCGCTGAAAGATGTATTCATTAAAAAAAATTTAATGGTTTTCTGCAAATGTATATAGCGGAAAAAGACTTATATGTTTATACTAGCGGGTATAAGCCGGCCTTGCACGTGGCACGTATGTTATAAAATAAATGTACTCAAAAAGCATTGAAAATGATTTTGAAACCGATCGGACGGTAAACAACTTTCATACAAGCGTTTTCCGCCAATTTACCACTGTTGCGGGTGGAATTTCCAATATCGCTGAAACACGTATTCATTATACTCTTATGTAGGCTTTGAAAATAAGTTTGAAGCAAGTCGGACAAAACTTAAAATTTCACCCAAAAAATCTTTGAAATGCACTTTCCACCGAAGAAATTTGGATTCTGCGAAAGGTGTTAAACACATCTCAAATAATTGTTCATATAGATCTTTGGAAATGAATTTGAGGGCGAAACGTCACCCACCAAATCTTTGACCCCCATTTCCACCAAAGAGGAATGGATTTTTCGAAAAGCGTGGAACACCCCTCAAATGAATTTGAACAAAGATCTTTGAAAATGAGTTTGAGGCCGATCGGATGGTAAACAAAAAAAGTTTCATACAAACGTTTTTCGCGATTTTTCCACACTTGCGGGTGGAATTTCCCGAAACCCCGTCTTAACGTGCACCTTCATCACATAAGGTAACTACCATGCAAATTTAAGCTTCCTAGCTATTACGGTTCGGGCTGTGCGTTGATCACCAATAAGTCAGTCAGGACAAACAGTTTTATAAATAGAGATTAAATCGTTTTTGCGCATCATTTCTGAAAAATCAATAAAATCCATATAACCCTTGTTTATACCCTGAACCTATTAAAAAACCGGTATAACAAGCAAAAGAAGCTTCTCCGACTTTATTAAGGGTATATATTGTCGATCATGACGACGAGCTGAGTCGATCTATCCATGACCGTAGGTCTGAACCGTTAATCTCCAAAACTACAAATGCTAAATGCTTGCAATATATATACCATCTCTTATACCATACAATATATCCTCAAATTTTTTATTTTTTAAAATCTCGTTTGGATGCCATATTTAAGCCTTGCAAATTTCATAAAGATTTGACAAAACTGCGAGGCATTATCGATATAATCCATGTTTTGCACATTTTGACACGAAATGTGTTACGTGTAGAGGCAAACAAGTCTCTCTGTTTTAAAACGTTCACTTCGTACATATGTCAAAGCAGGCCGGGTCGGATCACTGTATCATATAGCTGTCATAGGAAGGATATATACAATCCAATCAACATCGGACTACTATATCATAAAGCTGCCAAAAAAGAACTATCGGTCAAAAATTAAGTTATTTTTTTCAAACTCAGTATTTACGAGATTCACTTATTTGCATCAATAGCCGAGTCCATCTAGCCATGTCCGTCTGTCTGTCCGTCCGTCTGTCCGTCCGTGCGTATGTATGAACGCAAGGATATCAGAACCAATAAGAGCTAGGGACTTGAAATTTGAGCTGAAGGTCCTCCTAGTCCCCGCGCAGATCGAGGTTGTTTCCGATATTCGATAAATTGCCCCGTTTCCAAGTAATCGATAAAAATCGATATCGAAATCCTGTGTATTAGGCAATTTCGGTAAATAATATGAGCAAGAATCACCAAACTTGACATGTAGCTTCTAGAATAGTACATATATATCAAGTATCTTTCATTTTATAGCTATCGCCACCTCCCCGCTGCCACAATAAAGCTATAAATCAAGTAAATAAACCAATTGATGCTGCCCACAATATAAGCCACAATTTGAATGCAATAGACATTTTAGAATATACAAATATTTTATGGGACAATAAGATGTAATTTCGAAAATTGACTTTGGGACTTTGCGAATTATAGGCATAGCAGTGCTTAGAAACCACAACAATGAGTGAGAAGAGTGTAGAAGCTTAGATCATAGGCTGTAGCCTCGAACCAAATAGGGATGGCAAGGACAGAATTTTATTGTCGAGTCGCTTTTTTTTGATTCCTTTTGTTGTTGGTTCTTATTAAAAATGTTCTGAAGTTGTCATTGAATTTTGGGCATCGGCAAAAGTAGCTGCAGACAGCCGTGTGTTGTGTTTGCAATTTGTGTTTGCAACCTTGCAATCTTGCTTCTCATTTTTTTAAAAAGAGCTTTTGATCCAAAAGCCTTCTCTGTATATTTATTACTCTATGATACTGAACGTTCGGCTTTCGAGGCCGGCGTTCGGCTGGCACTCTCAGCAGGCTTACTCTATCTGGACACACTAAAATGGTCGCAGGCACCCATGGGGCTCACTCGTTGCGATTTATCGTGTTTCGATTATTCTGCTGTTTGACATATCTATGCATTTTATAGTAAGTGGTGCTACCTCACTTGCACTACGGAACAACTTTAAGCACACAAAAATTAAATTAAGATTAAATAGTTAAAATTAAATCAATTCTCAACAGAGATGCTTCTGCCTTGAAATCTTAAGATCTATAGCACAATTACAAGGAGCGAATAGCGACAAACGAAGCAAAGAGAATATTGCATGCACACTCACATAAGAAATCTAGAACATTCGATGTTATTAAGTCGTTAGTCTTTTTCGGACATTCTGTTTATTTTGGGAGAGAAAGATGGCACAAACAACTAAGAGTACACCAGGCGGGAGTGCGCGACTAGGGGATACCCTGAATCTTCTCCTATCAATGCCAAATGCATCTTGCCTGTGGCAAGTTTTGTGCTTAAAATTTTAAATCTATCTTTTTCATCCAGTTCGCGCCCGTGAAACATTTTAATTATATTTTTAACTCCATGTCTATTTAAAAATGTGTTTGAAGTCCACTAAATAACGAACTATAAGTTGGAATCAATGTCTTCTTTCCATCGTATTCTTGTGGCAAAAATTTTTCGTTTATTAAACATTTGAACCGTATTTTTCATTAGAGTGAATAAATAAGTTTTCACAATGACCTTTAAGAATGAGACTGAAACCGATGATTGACAAAAGTAACGAATTGTCTGTCAAGTTCACATAGTTGCGGGGGAAATTTTAAAAACCGCTAGGAACTTGTATTCATTTAATTTAAATCGCTATTGCAGTTCTGTTGTGGCTTGCCAATATAACCACACTTTTCCTTAATAACTTCACAGTTTTTTAATCGATCTTGATAAAATTTTGTGCAGTAGATCTTATGCTATAGAATATTCTAATATTCTCAAATTACTTTAAAGTTGTGACTTAAATATGTATGTAGGTAGTACCAATTGATTTATTTTTTTGATTTTTAGCTATTGGACCTCTATAAATTGAAAATACTTCATCTGTGTATACTATTAAAGAAGCTCCATGTCAATTTCAAATCCCTAGCTCTTATGGAATCGCGTACATATGGAGGGACAAACGGACGGACGGACATGGACTGACATAGCTAGATCGACTCGGCCATTGATGCTGATCAAGAATATATATATATATATATGTATTTACTTTATGAGGTCGGAAATGTTACTATATTATATAGAAGCAAGATTTTGACAAGATTTGGGTCATATATAAGCAGCATAGTGTAAATAATAAATGTCGCCCAAGATAAATTGATAAACAGAATAGTGTCTCACACAAGAACTTGATTTACAATCGATTGTTCCTATGGCTGCTATATAATATAGCGGTCCGATCCGACATATGTACTTCCTGCAACATAATGACTGGACTGACCTATGCAAAGTTTCTAGACAAAAGCTTTTAAGCTGAGAGACTACATTATATTGAAATAAAAATAAAGTAAATAATAAAAACTTATATTGTTAAATATGAAATGATAAATAAAAAAGCTCAATACATTTTTGAGCGATGTTCATGAGAAATTTATTCAGAATATTGAATCGAAATTAGTCGACATGTCATTTATACTTGTAATTTCATTTTAAAATAACGATGCTAAAAAAAATCAAATTTCCATTATTAAAAGACTAAAGTGAATCTGTGACATACTTATATAACAAAAGTAAAATATTATTAGCGAGCTACATAAGCAAGCGCGAAAAATTATAAAATATGTTATTCAAAATACTGATGCTTATGGCCAGCTAATTTTGTTAAAATGATTTATTAGAAATGTAATAATAACGGCTATCGATATCCCTTAAGAATACACATTTTCAAAGAAAGCTTGGCGAAAACTGCTCAAAATGTAACAAACGTTAGCAAGAGCATTTTTAATGACAATCATCGAACTCCGAAAAATCTGCAAACTGATAATGAAAGGAATTTGAAGATAAGCAATGAGACCGGGCCTACGAAAATATCCAACAAAAATACATTATTAAACTAACAAGAACATATTGAATTTATTTTTTAAGCTCAGTATTGTTTTATATTTTTTTTTTCTTGTTTTTTAACAAAAAAAGTTAGTGTTTTTACACATTATAGTATCTTTTAAAAATGATTAACATTAAACCATTAACAAATTTTCAGTTATCAGTTTTTCTTTATGTAATTAATCGCCAATCCAGCCATACAAAGTGTCTAGCGCCAACTGATTCACAAGTGCCCACCAACCACCAACCACCAACATAGACTCACACCCACACCGCAACCTTCACACCAAGACCAGCGCCAAGCGTAAGCTTATCACAAAGTATCTGTGATCCCGCGAGTTCCAACGCCCAAGCTTAGTAATCACCCGACCCTATCATAAACTGATTTCTGCATTTCCAACAACCAACCAGTATTTTTTTTTTATATATTTCAAAAGCTTAGTCATTCTAAAATATTTAAGTCAAAACACCATATTCAGCCCAAAATGTTCTTGAAACTCGTTTACTCGTTGACATATTTTTTTATGATTTCTGAAAATTAAAGCGTTGAGTAAGTCTTGATGACTAGTAATTAATATACATATATGTACAAAATATAATATTTTATTTAAACTATTCAACATATGGCCATGTTTAATTATTCCGAAATTTGTGATAGACTTGAAACCTCTTAACACATAATGGGTTGCACAGACAAGCGGACATGGGTTAATCAACTTAGTTGTTGGAGATGTCTACTTTGTGAGAAACACACTTTAAAACAAAATTATAATATCCTGCTTAAGATAATATAAGGAAGTTCTAAGAATGGCTAAAATTGATAAAAGGAATAAAAAAGGCATACCATTATAAAAAGTTTTTTCCAGGTGAGTCCGTAGAATACTGCCAAATGTTATTGCAGCAGCTAGACGCAAAGAATAGTTATAACCATTTGTCATCTTGTGTTCAACAGACAGCTCGTGGGCACGGCATACAACTATGAATACACACTCGACAAACTTGGCATTTATTTGGAATGCTAAAAGAAAGATATTTAGTAAATAATTAATTGCGATTTTCGGAATAAAGAGTGAGTACCATCTTGAAAGGTCGCGTTTCTCCAAGTGAACACGAAGGATATCACAGGCCCGAACTTCATCACCGCGACTGGGTCTCCGAGAGTAAAAATCATTTTTGCTCGATCTCCTGTTGTCCTGTATGAATTTCGATCCTTTGATACCTTTCCGTAACCTTGATCTACTATTTTCTCTAGATATTGAACGACCTAATGTTCGATTTCTTTTATTTTGACCCGATCTTCTTGAGCTACGGATATATTCATTTTCGCCTATGCTTCTATCACCCTTTCGACTCAATTTATATTTTTGGTCATTGTCAGGCTCCCGTCTGTCTTTTTCATGTACATCGGAGGTGTCTCTATGAGATTTTCTATGTTTTTTTTCAATTGAACTTCCGCCACCGGGAGCCTTCGCATCTATATTTGTATTCTCATTTTTAGAAAGATTTATATTTTTGCCTTTTTTCTCTATTTCAGGTTTTGCGTTTAAGTCAGTTTCTTTTACTGGTGTTTGCTTTCCTTTTTTTTCTTTGCCGTTTTTACCATTTTCTTTTTCGGGATTGCTATTTGATGGCCTTACATTTTTTAAATCACTACCAATTTTCTTTTCGCGTCCTCTTTTATCATCTCTTTCACCTGTGCCCGGATCCGCATCTTTCTTACCGTGCTTTGATTTTTTCAAAGACGCGCCTAGATTAGCCTCTTTCATACCGAGCGTATTATCGACAGCTTTGGCCTCTTTTCGACCATTCCCTCGCTTTTTTAATTTTTTTAAGGAATCGCTTTCATCGGCATCTTTTTTGTCGCGTGTATCTCCACGTCCTTTTCCCACCTTTGTATAATCATCTTTTTCATTTTCGCCACGATCTTTTGCCTTTTTAATTTTTTCTCCGACCTCTCTCTCCCCTTGATCTTTTCTTTTGTATATATTGTTTGAGCAGTCGAGTTCTTCACCTTTATCGCTTTTTTTATTAATTTGTATTTTTTTGTTTATCAGCACTTACCTTTTTGCCTCTCTGACCATCGGCTATTTATGCTGTTACCTCCGTTGAATATTGTATACTTCTCACGGCATTGCTGCCGATTGTAACTTTTGATTATCTTATGGCAAACCCGCTTAAGTATTGAATAGGTATGGTCATTCAAAAAGGATTTCCTACAGCAGCCATAACAACAGCATGGACTGCATTTGTTGTAGTTTTCGTTGCAAAAAATATTATCTGTACTAGATGAACTGCATACAAAATAAGATAAAATATATGGGATCGTAAATACTTTAAGAGTATAAAAACCAATCGTTTATACTTACCTAGATGGTGGATTACAACAAATGCGCTCTAAGTCAAAACCCATTTTATTAAAATATTCATTTTAAATTCGAATTTTGTAATATTATGTTCGTTACTAAATTTAGTTCACCAATTTTTTGTGAAGTCTGACAATAAATGCCTAGACAATTGAATATCTCTATATATAAAACTGTTTGTCCTGACTGACTGACTGACTGACTGACTGACTGACTGGCTGACTGACTGGTGATCAACGCACAGCCCAAACCGTAAGAGCTAGGAAGCTGAAATTTTCACTGTAGTTACCTTATGTGATATAAGCGCACGTTAAGACGGGGTTTCGGGAAATTCCACCCGCAAGTGTGGAAAAATCGCGAAAAACGTTTGTATGAAACTTTTTTGTTTACCATCCGATTGGCCTCAAATTTATTTTCAAAGGTCTTTGTTCAAATTCATTTGAGGGGTGTTTCGTACTTTTTGGAAAATGCATCCCTCCTTGGTGGAAATGGGGGTCAAAAATTTGGTGGGTGACGTTTCGCCCTCAAATTTATTTCCAAGTATCTATATGAAAATTCATTTGAGACGTGTTTTTCACTTTTCGTAGAATTCAAACTTCTTCGGGGGGAATGCGATTCAAAGATTTTTTGGGCGAAGTTTTAAGTTGTGTCCGATTTGCTTCAAACTTATTTTCAAAGCTCTACATAAGAACTTAATAAATACGTATTCCAGCGATTTGGGAAATTCCACCCGCAAGAGTGGTAAATTGGCGGAAAACGGTTGTATGAAAGTTTTTTGTTAACGATCCGATCGGCCTCAAACTTATTTTCAAAGATCTTTGTTCAAATTTATTTGAGGGGTGTTTCACACTTTTCGAAAAATCCGTTCCTCCTTGGTGGAAATGGAGGTTAAAGATTTGGTGGGTGACGTTTCGCCCTCAAATTCGTTTCCAAAGATCTATAAGAAAAATCGTTTGAGACGTGTTTCACACTTTTCGCAGAATCCAAACTTTTTCGGGTGGAATGCGACTCAAAGATTTTTTGTGCGAAGTTTTAAGTTGTGTCCGATTTGCTTTAAGCTTATTTTCAAAGCTCTCCATAAGAACTTAATGAATACGTATTTCAGCGAATTGGGAAATTCCACCCGCAACAGTAGTAAATTTGCGGAAAACGGTTGTATGAAAGTTTTTTGTTTACCATCCGATCGGCCTCAAAATTATTTTCAAAGATCTTTGTTCAAATTTATTTGAGGGGTGTTTCACACTTTTCGAAAAATCCGTTCCTCCTTGGTGGAAATGGAGGTTAAAGATTTGGTGGGTGACGTTTCGCCCTCAAATTCGTTTCCAAAGATCTATAAGAAAAATCATTTGAGACGTGTTTCACACTTTTCGCAGAATCCAAACTTTTTCGCGTGGAATGCGACTCAAAGATTTTTTGTGCGAAGTTTTAAGTTGTGTCCGATTTGCTTTAAGCTTATTTTCAAAGCTCTCCATAAGAACTTAATGAATACGTATTTCAGCGAATTGGGAAAGTCCACCCGCAACAGTAGTAAATTGGCGGAAAACGGTTGTATGAAAGTTTTTTGTTTACCATCCGATCGGCCCCAAACTCATTTTCAAAGATCTATGTTCAAATTCATTTGAGGGGTGTTTCAAACTTTTTGAAAAATCCATCCCTCCTTGGTGCAAATGGGGGTCGAAGATTTTGTGGATGACGTTTTGTGTTCAAATTTATTTCCAAAGATATATAAAAAAATCATTTGAGACGTGTTTCACATTTTTCGCAAAATCAGTTTCAAAATCATTTTCAAAGCTTTTTGAAAACATTGATTTTATAACATACATGCCACGACATTCGCGATCTAGCTTTCAAAGCGTGCAGACGTGCAGCTCTGTTCGATCGCCGCGCACAAAAAACGTTGTTTTTTCTCTTTAAATTTCACCGTTATTCTATTGCTCGCCAGCAAGTTTCGCGCGGAGAAACGGCGCCAGACATTGGAATCTCTCTTTTGTGTCGGTCTTTCTACTACAAAAAAGTTAATTTCGTTGTGCGTATACAAACAAAATACGTGGGCCCGCTCTGCGAAATTCTGCAGAAAAGGCCCGAGGAATTTTCGAAGCAAATTTTAAATGGAAAACAATCGCAATCACAAAAAACTTACTTCAAGCATATTTAAAATGACTGATTCAAATCGCGAATTTGCAAACTTTATGACTAACCATAATAATAATTTTCCCCAATTGCCAGAGGGCAATGCGGATCAGCCCACTGCTGATAACGGCTCTATTAATGAACAACCGACCAATCCGTCACCGCGCCACTTGCTAATACAGCAAAAAAAACGCAAGCTGCCCAACTCTCCAGCTTTAAACATAAAAAAAACAGCTACAAACAATAATAACACCATCAATGCCACCAATGCTACCGCCGCCAACAACTCGGCACTAATCGACAATAATCCTTTAGAAGGTAACCCATTCGCCATTCTAGCAGAAGATGAAACTCCTGATATGGATCTAGATGAGTTATATCCTGGTCTTGTTCCACCTCAAAACCATATCCTCGAAAGTGAGCTTCCCAGTACCAGTGCCGCTGCTGCCCGCGCACGGTTAACTGCCGGATCACAGTCTAACAATAACACTCCTGGACACACAGCCAAAAAAACCTCGAAGCCGCCACCTATTGTCATTCAGGACGTAGTCAATCTTCAAGAGCTTTTAATCTGTATAGAAGAAGCTTGCGATTTGGACAACATTGAAGTCAAATCCTCGATGGGAGGAATAACAAGAATTTACGCCAAAGATTCTGAAAACTATCGAGCAACTGTCCGTCAGCTAAACGCATATAAAATTGAGTTTCATTCGTACCAATTAAAAGAGGACAAGCCTTATAAGGTGGTTATTCTAGGACTATCCCCCTGCACATCTAAGACACAGATTGAGGACCAACTAAAAAAATTGGGCCATCAAGCTTTAAACATCTACAACCCCAAATCAAGGAAGACAGGCAATCCTATGAACATGTTTTTCATAAGTCTAGTCCCCAAAGAAAATAACAAAAATGTTCTTGGGTCCAAACTTTTCTGCAGACAGAGAGTAAACATCGAGGTCGCAAGGAAATCTTCCGAAATAACTCAATGCCATCGCTGCCAGGATTACGGTCACACATCCAAATATTGCCATCGAGAATACATTTGCGTCGTCTGTGGCGAAGAACATAAAACGTCCGATTGCACACGTCCAAAAAATACTCCAGCCACTTGTGCCCTGTGTGGGGGTGTTCATCCGGCCAACTTCAAGGGCTGCGAAAAATTCAAACAATATTTACAACGAACACAGCCTAAGAAAAAACCTACAAAGAGTGCAGGACCTTCGAGCACATATACTGCTTTGGCGCCATCCCCTTACGTAAAAGCAACTGGAATCTCCTATGCAGACATGGCACGTAGTCATGCAAACAGAGGTCCCAAAAGGCAGGCTCCACTTAATGCTACCAATCATTTTAATAGTGATACACATAACTACCAACAACAACACCAAGGGCACACAACCCAGCGAGTACATTTGCGACAACAGCCGCAAAATAATCAAGCTCAATCGCCTTTCACCTTTTCCCAGTGGGAGAACGAAGCGGCTCATGAGACGAAATTTGAGCAAATGATTAAAGTGATGCAAGAAAACTTTAATAAATTCTTCGAGCAGCAAAATAAACTATTTGAGATGCAGAGCCAAATAATGGCTCTACTTATCTCGGCCAACCAAAAATGAAGCTCAAAACACTAGTGTGGAACGCCAGGGGTCTGACTGGCAAAATGCTAGAGCTATGTAATTTCATCACAGACAGCAAGATCGACATAGCCCTAATTTGTGAAATAAAAACAACTTAAGAAGACAGCTTAGGCTTAACCTTATGTAGAGCAGGAGAAAATAAACTAAGAAACAAACATTGTTAAATGCAAATTTTGAAGCATGTACATGTTTAAAAACTCATATTATCTGTTAATATAATAAAGATTTTCATAATAAAAAAAAAAAAAACATGCCACGGGCAAGGCCGGGTTATACCCGCTAGTATGTAATATATATATATAAAGCTCCATATGTACATATATAAAATAACCGAAACGGGTTGGTAGATTATAAATGATTTATTGACAGACCCGTAAGGGAGCTGGAGCTCACTTATTAAAACTGAACTATAACATATCTTAGCCTATCCCTCGAAGCTCTAGATTGCCGGCAGAACTGCCGGCAGCTCGCTGAGTCAGTGCCTCGTGAGCGTCCATCGCTGGTCACACAGCGCGCGACTGCGAGGGTATCGGGTACCGTTGCCCGTTAAACAGCCAGAATTTGATGACCGTTGCACCATGGGCATCCGGTACCGCGGCGAACTCAGCAACAACGAACTCCCACGGATAAATGAGGGCCGTCCTCGGTGCTCCTTGGAAGAGCTTCAGGTTCCTGGGTGTTATCAGGTGTGGACCGACGTGTCCGTTTCAGACGATGCAAGGTTAACCAGATGACTACGCAACAAGCAAGAAAGATGACCACTATGGCACAACTTCTCATGATGGATTTTTATAGTAGTTCGTCTTTCAAGTTGCTAATGTGCTGTAGGTTCCCGATGCTCAGCTCATGCAGGAACGGTAGGCTGGGTCTTTCGCGGTGTGCTGTCACGTTGATCTGTGACATTGCCGATACAACTGGGATTTTCTGAAAGACGCCTTAGTGGTTGATGACCCGACTTCCGTTCAGAGAGATGTAATCTGTGAAAGTCAGAAGATAGGTTCCGCAGATTAAATGGTTGTCCCCGTTGGAGGATACGTAGTCCATGGATCCAGGTGTCCCGTGCGTGTGCTGCATGTAGCGGCGGTTCGAGATACAAGTTGTTGTGCGCTAAGTAACAAGTAGTAACAAAACCTCCATCCCCAAAGCAACTGCCAAAGAGGCCTGACGTCTGCCCAAGCGACTGCCCTGGACCGCTCTACGGTGGAGCGTGCAAATCAGCATGCATTATAACTACGACCTATGCGATGACCGGCACCGGCCCCGCCTGAGCCCATAGACCCAGGACATCAGCAGCAGCTAATCAAAAAGCGCGAGGGGAACACCGCCACTTGCGTCATCGAGGGAGCATCAGCCTGCCACATTCGGGGAAGCCCAGCTGATGCAGAGGACACTTAC